GGAGTGGTGGGGGGCGGCCCAAGGGGCTGGGAGAGGGTCCGGCCCACTCTAAAATTTTCTTATAGTATATTTTTTCATTCTTTTTTTAGCATGTTGCTATCATTTTGAAAGTTTGTTATAATCATATATTTTTTCAATTATAATGATAATAGATCAAAAAAGGACTCAATGTACATTGCCAAATTAAATCACTAAACACAAAGGAAGACAGGGAGAAAAAAAAAAAGGAAACAAGATACAAAATGGCTGTAGTAAACCTTTCTTATCAATAATTGTCATGAATGTAAATGGATAAATTCTCCACTTAAAATATAGAGACTGACTGGCTGGACAAAAAGCAAGACCCCACAGTAGATCCCTATAGTCAGGGGAAAAATTAAATACAGGCCACCTAATTTATAGGATATTTTGTAATATTCACCCAAAGAGTCAAGTGCAGAAAAAATGCCAGAAATCTGTCCACACACTAGAGTCCCAGAAGAATCCGGCTGAGGCCTGATCCCACAGCTGTGTCCTGCATGAGTCCAGCTGCAGACCTAGAGCCCATGACAACGTCTCATGCCTGTCTGTCCCAAGGCTCTTTCCTGGGCAGGTCTAAAGGCCTGTGGAAGGTAGGAAGTCTATGTCAGTGGGGTACAGGATCTGTGCCAGCAGGCTGAAGGATCTTCACTGGAGCCAGGAAATGACACTCAAGGTAGGGACCAGGTCTCCCCTGAAAAGAACATCCTCAGTCATAGTGAGGACCTGAGTTCCTCTAAAGATGAGAACAGCTAAGTTCATACCAGGAAAACTAGCATGACAAGCTTCTCCAGGAAAATCAACAGCACCACCTTCCTTTCCAGTTCTTTCATGCGGCAGCAAAGTCCTCAGGTGGGTCTTCCACACCTAGCACCAAGCTGACTCGGTTCAGCTAAGTGTTCCAAGTTGACAAGTAGTTAATCCACCACATAAGCTAAAAAAATAAAAATTAAAAAAAAACAGTATTGTCTTTATCTACTATTTTGCTTTTTCACAAAGGACAGCTTTCTAGAGTCATTCCGAAAGTAAAGGTGTAGAATGACCTATCCCCTGCAAATGCATCCCTAAAGTAAGCAATACTAGCCATGCTTAGATCAAATAGGTTTTAAATTGAAAGTAGTAAAGAGAGACAAGGAAAGTCATCACATATAATGCACCTTTTTTTTTCTTTTTTTTTTTTTTTTTTTTTTCAGAACTGGGGATTGAACTCAGGTCCTTGGGCTTGCCAGGCAAGTGCTTATTCAACTGAGCCATCTCCCCAGCCCTTTTTTTTTTTTTTTTTTTGAGACAGTCTCCTATGCAGTTCGAGCCGGCCTTGTGCTCACTTTTGTAGCCCCCAGGCTGGTCTCAAACTCACAGTGATCCTGTTGTCCCAACCTCCTGCATGTTGGGATTATAGGTGTGTGCCACCACACCTGGTTCCAGGGCTGGCACAGTATGTGGGGCTGAGGATTAAACTCAGGTCCTTGTGCTTGCCAAGTAGGTGCTTATGTCCCTGAGCTAATTCCCCAACCCTGTACCCCAATACATACAGGACATATTAAAAGGGAAAGACAGATTCCAACAAACATTAGTTACAGGCTTTAATATTCCCCACTTTCAACAATAGGCAGATTATCCAACCAAAAAGTCAACAATGAAATAACAAATTTTTACTTTTTATTTTTTTAATATAGATAATTTTATTACAAATTTTAAAAAAACACACACAATGCAAAATCCTAAACAACCCAAAACTTATTATTGGTACTAGTTCCTGCAAACTTGTGCTACCTTACACATGGAAGAAATCATTAAACATGTAGGAACATTCAATATCAAAAGCTTTAAAATCTAACTATGTAGTAGCCCCTCAAAAAGCTACAAACTGAATTTTTTAAAAAGATATTTTTCTACCAATAATTTTATTAGCTATACAAAAATCTGTACAGTTTTTATACTGAAGCTAATGTTGAGCTGCACTTGAATTCATATTCTTAGCAAAAAAATTGCCTGAGCACACATGCACTCCACATGCCATGACAGGACAGCCACTTATTCTCATCTTCTTCTTCCTTCTCCTCCTCCTCTTTCTCCTCTTCCACCTCTTCCTCTTCCTCCTCTTCCTCCTCCTCTTCCCCTCCTCCTCTTCCACCTACTCTTCCTCTTCCTCTTCCCCCTCCTCATCTTCTCTCCTCCTCTTCCACCTCCTCTTCCTCTTCCTCCTCCCCCTCCTCATCTTCCCCCTCCTCTTCCACCTCCTTTTCCTCTTCCTCCTCTTCTTCCTCCTTTTCATCTTCCCCCTTCTCTTTCACCTCCTCTTCCTCCTCCTCCTCTTCCCCCTCCTCTTCCTCCTCTTCCTCCTCCTCCTTCTCCTCCCCCTCCTCCGTCTCATCTTCTGGTTCACTCCTCTTCCTCAAGCCTGTCGGCCTACCAGGCCCTTCTTTCCTGCTTCGCTTTTGCCCTTGGCTCGGTATGCAGCAATATCCTTTCCGTATTTCTCCTTTAGCTTAGCTGTTTTGTGTTCATATGGTTGTTTATCTTTGGCTGACTGCTCACACCACATTCTCCAATTGTTTTGCAGTAGTGGACAGGCCTGGGTGTTCACTTTTGATCTTTGGGCATGTTCAGAGCAAAACAGAAAAAAGGCAGATGGTGGTCTTTTAGGAGAATTGGGATCCTTCTTCTTTCCTCTCTTATCTCCAGCTTTGGGAGGAACGTAATTTGTCATCTCCCTGTTGTAGTGAGCTTTATCACTCTTCGCCATATCTTCAAATTTCAACTTTTCCATCTCTCCGAGCATTTCTTGGAGAATTCAGCAAAGTTAACCTAGGACGCTCCTCGCGGCAGGTTTGCACGAAGGAAGTGTACGAGGACATCTTGCCTCGCGGCTTGTTGGGATCTCCCTTGCCCATGGCAGCGCGGTCTGGTGTAGCTTTTCCTCAGGGTCCCACAGAGCAGCCGAGTGTGACTGAGACTCTTTTTTCCTAGGGCTCCGGAGAGAACTGACGTAACAGATTTTTAAATGCACCCTAAACCAACCTGAGCTAACAGACATTTAAAGAACATTCAAGGCGGGGGAGATAGCTCAGTAGAATAAGCACTTGCCTGGCAAGCACAAGGTCCTGAGTTCAATCCTTGGTACCACAAAAAAA